GTCACAAAGTTTCTTTTCGATCTTCGGTATTTAAGTTTATTGGTTAATTATCTTAATGCCCATTGTTCTACCTAAAATCGTTGTTTCTTTCAATTTTGGGTTAGGAAGTCTAGACAACATAAAATGATAATAAATAATTTGATGGTCAGATTCGTATCAGGCGATCCAAAAAACAGAAATATTTCACTCTCGCTCACAAGAGTAATTTTTTCAATTTTTGTAATAATTTCATAAAAACGCTAAAGTACTTAACTTCATTCAATGATATCTCAGCAAATAAAAATGGTTTTCCAAATTGGGAAAAAGCTTTTTTCACGGTTAGAGTTTTAGTTTTAAAAGGCATTATTCATTTAAAAAAAAAAAACTTCTTCTTGCTTAATTTTTTCATGAAACGAGTACACATATAGCAACTCAATTATAGTAGAAACACGCGTTTTTTGGATATTAGAATATCTCGGGTGGATTAGAATATCTCGGAAGCCTAGGTCATAGGAGCTATTCTGATGCCGTATTCAGATTCAACGAGTGAAGTCTGGTTTTTGGATGTAAAAATTTTTGCTCTGTAATTATTATTGACACAGAATTACCGATAATTAGTTCATCTTATAAAATATAAAATATAAAATATATGCAGAATGGTTAACTACATGCGCAATGAAATAGTTGACATTTTGATAATATTAGGTAAATGCAATAGGAATTATAGACTTACTACTCGGACCTACGCGGAAAGATATCTCGATCAGTGCCATTTTTCCCCTCAAAAAGTGATAAGCATTGAAAGAAGATCACGGAATAATCCACCACATTGCCAAAGTCGAAAGAATAGGCTTTAAAATAATAACGATCCAAGGTTACTTATAAGCGTTGGTACATGTTAATATAATAATATAAATAATAATATATATCCACATATTTGTACGAGTCTGATTGAAAAGTAAGCAGAAATCCTCCGAACTACAGCTCACAGATTATTAAGATCTGTATCATACCACCCTTATCACATTAATCTGATACATGAATTAAGCCAAGAAGACCACGTCCACAAGGTACAACTTTATAGGTGGACTCTTAAGATGTTGAAAGAAACTCCCGACTTTTTTAGAATGTTTGTTTCAGTGATGAAGCTATATTTAACAGTAACGAGAGTCTAAATAGGCATAACCGCCATTATTGGTCACCAATAATTCATATTGGTGTGGTGCTCAACTAACTTCGTTGGGAATTACATGTATGGATTGGCATATCTAATAGTCAATTGATTAAGTCTTACTTTTTTGAAGAATAATTTGCCAGGGTACCTTGAGAATATTTCACTTGCATTTAGATTGAACGTATGGTTTCAACAAGATAGTGCTCTTGCTCACTATGCCCGTATTGTACGAGCGTTCTTAACTCAGCAATTTCCAAATTGATGGATAGATATGATGGACCAGTCGTGTGGCCTCTTAGTCCACCATACTTAAGTCTCCCTGGTTTTTTTCGAGGAGATATGTAAAAAATGTTTTAAATGAACCTTCAACAACACCATTGGATATAATGGATAGAATTAGCAGAGCTTGTGGAGCGATAACCTTAAAATACTTACGAATGCATACATTTAATTTATAATTTACAAAATTATGATTGCTGAAATTCAGCACTCAGGGCCAGGGATTTTAACCTATGTGAATTACTTGTGATCACACGCTTGGACGATGTAGAGGAGAATGACTTATATCATAGCATGTAAGCTCAAAAAAGAATGGAGCTTGAACTGAGCGACATATAATACATCAACAAAACATAGAATTTTCAGTTCTATTCCAATCAAAGATCAAAAATAGAGGTTCCTATTTGAAAACACAAAGTTGATCTTAAAATGATCTTGAAAATAAAGTTCAAGGTCAAGTTTGAGGTAATTCTGGATTGACTTCATTTGATTCAAAAAATTTTTTAAAAAACATTTTTAAATATTTTGCAAAGTTTTGAATTACCCTACTGTCCAAGTGAAAGTGGGACACTGTATATTTTACTGTAGTATTCACTAACTGTGGTTAACTGTATTTATGAATGTGACCTTCCTTAACATTATGTTAAAAAAATATCGTAGACAAAATAAACAAATGTTTCCATTATAGTGCAATGAAAAATATATTAACAATAGTGAGGTCTCAACGCGTAATTTTATTGATTTTTATTTTTCGTGAACGATATGTGTGTGGAGATATCATAATTTCAATGAATCATCAAAAAGCAAAATTTTGTATTTCAAATATTTATTGCTGCTATATTTTACTCGTATAATGTCAAAAAGATATTTATTATACCGTCATCTGTTTACGTTGCGAGGTTAACCCCTGCATTTCATTGTTATTATGTTGTTGGGGGAATGGTAGAGTTGACTGTTGGAACTCCAAATTGGTAACTACGCCGACCAAGTCTTGACATAGAAAAAGATAAGTTTTAAACTCGATTATGTTTAATGGCGCGATTTATACTTGAATCACCAACATTATGATCTTGAAATTCAGAAGTACATTGTACTTTGTTCATTGTACATTGAATTTTTTGCACTGATAGTTTGTCGAGATACTTTACGAGAGACAGAAAGAGAAAATAAATCCACGAACTAACGTCGTGATATCTTTTCGGTAAAAATTTACAGCTATGTGAATCGCGATGATCAGCTGCAACCTGATAACTCATTGTTAATGAAACCAAAGTTTTTTTAATGAGACTCAAAAGTTACATAAAAATGTATAGAACGTAATAAAACTGAAAACTATAATAGATTAGAAGATCATAAACGTACCAGAATTTTTTCAATATTTATTACTATTGAAAATGGAAAGAAAATGGATGGAGAAGTTCACCTCATATATACGGGCTCTATTGGGTGACGTGATATTGAATGAGATTCACTTAAAGTGCATAGACAAGAAAGATGCGCAATATATTAAAAAAACTCAAATATATATTACGAAACCTCATTTCATAGTTTGAGCTAAAGTCATCGCTAGGAAACATAAGCAATCAATCAAAATGTGAACAAACATTCGAGTTTATGGATACGAAAAGATGCGCGATGAGAAAAGCGTTGCGTTGCATCATTCCCGCAGTTGACTGTCCTGAAACTTTTTAAGAAGCCGGCTCCTCAAGTGTATTCTCTTTTAAATGCCCATCTGTGCAATTAGTTACTGCCTTCTTGCCTTTAATTCCTAGCTCATCACTCGGCTGACCGATGATCTCAACTCTTATCGTTACACTCACTGTACCTGTGCATTTTCGTTGATGTCGTTCCTCGGATATTTTGCAATATACGAGGGTAGGTCAATAAGTCCTTAGAAAATCCAAAAGATGGCGCTCAAAGCATCCCAATTTATGTTGCACCAATAAGCTTTACTATTAAATAGAGTGCTGCCAAAGTTTCAGCCAGATCCATTGAGTAGTTTCGTTTTTATCATCGATCAAAGTGAAAACTTTTGTTTCTTGCTAACAATGGAAAAAAGTGAGTTCCGAGCGGTGACAAAACATTTTTATTTAAAAAGCCTTATACCGAAATGAAATCAAAACTGAGTTAGATGCAATTCATGGTGTATCTGCCCCTGTGTTTGCAACTGTTGACAATTGGGTAAATGAATTTAAACGTGGCCATACAGCGACTGCAGAAGAACATCATTCAAGCTGTCCTGTAGACGTGAGCACTCTGGAAATGATTAATAAAATCAACGACACGGTGTTGAGTGACCGAAGAATAAAATTGCGCGAAATATTTGAGGCCATAGGGGTTTTAAAAGATACAGTCATTTAAATTTTGCATGAGAAATTGGACATGATAAAAATTTCGGCAAAATGGGTGTCGCGATTGCTCTCAGTCGAGAACAGACGTAATCAAATGGTGGGCGTTGAGGCCCTCTTGGCGCGATCCACCGTAATCTGGACGACTTTCTGCTTCGATTCATAACTGTAGACGAAATGTGGATACACCACTACACTCCTGAGACGAAGGAACTAATCTAACAAAAAAAATTGTTTTTCTATCTTTTTCTAAGGACTTATTGACCCACTCTCGTATCTGCCTATTTCTCACTGCTATGACACTTCTAAAAACACTTCCAAAATCACACGGCCAGCGAAGTATTAGCCAAACGCTCGCTTATTCTCTTACAAACACACACATACATATACGTACATAGACGCACATAAATGTTTTTTTAAATAAACAATAAATATATTTTTACCTCATATCCATTACTTTGTATTATTCCCGTCTTCACAATTATTTCCATTGTGGAGATGTCAAGAACTTTAAAATTATGACAGAAGTAATAATGTTACATATGCAATTTGTAGTATTTAATTCCGAAAAATTAATTGGTTTACAAAAAAAGTTGTAAAAATCAAGACGACTCAAAAAAGTATACAAACTATTTTTAGGTTGTTCATAAAAATGAACGTATTTATGGTAAGTAAAGTGTTTAGTTTGTAAGGTACTGCACTGTTTTCGAAAAAGGTATCCATCCTCCTTGTCAACATAGAATCTACTGTGACATAATCATGCAAATAAATTAACTAACGACGAGCAACACAGAGCTTATGTTAGCGGGGCATCTGCAAACATTTGCGCAAATGCAAAGTATAATGGATAGTGCAATAAAAATGTCAACTGTTATTCCATTGAGATGACACTGCTGGCAAACTAACGGCACTGGAATTCTTTCAACCATAGCAACTACTTCTCTGATAATAAATATAAAACATATCAACACAATTCAGAGCATAGTTTATACTCTAAGAGTAACAGCTACTGAAAGTCATATCAACACTGAAAATCTCAGTGTTGATATTTAAAATTATAAAATTGAAATATTAGGATAAAAGTAGGTTTTTAACATCATGAACTTTCAGTATGCATAGATGTTATTAAAGTTGTTTATCATATAATATGTAGATATTCAAATATCATTTTTAGTAACACTGATTATCTATTAATTTCAATCGTTTTATGTATTTTTCAGTATACTGGACCACCGCAGAGACATCAAACGCATCAAAATCAATTTCAATTTCAATCTTATCCAGCCCATACACTTATAACTTCAAATTTTATTGGTTATACTCATGGGGCTCAACATCATGGATGTAAGTTTTATTTTTATAATTTATACCACATTGATAATGTATCTGTATAATAACTTTACATCATAACTTTATATCATGTATTATTATTAAGCTTATCTCTGTTCTCTTTGGTTATTTCTAAAATATTGAAAAATTTATCATTATTTTGCTTTGTACAGGATGTACATAAATAAATAACTTATTTTTTATCACCATTGAAGATCTTTATACTCCGTCCAATAGTGTGAGGCTAACCGCCTCCTCGATCTGCCCCTGTTGGATTCTGTATAATCAGTTGACGTACACGTACCTAGCGCTACTGACAATGAGCGCGAAAACGCGGAGCAGAACTCAAGCTGAATTAAGTTAGATGTTAAAGGTTGTATGCTACAAGTGGGGATTAGTGTGTGATTAGTTAGGTTCATAAAAAAGTAATGTTGATCTAAAGTAAAGCAACGCCTATTTTTTAGATCGGCTGATCAACCAAAAACAAACTCTTTACCAAGATTTGGGTGCACGAGAGAGAGAGAGAGAGAGAGAGAGCAGAACGTAAACACGCAACTAAGCGGGAGGTGTTAGTGGTTTCTCCGTTCGCACGGTGGATCGTCAATCACGTTAAAAAAGTTAATAAATAACGGATAAGGCGTTCGCCTACTATTTGTCCTAATTTGTTGCTGCAGTCACTGATATCGCGGACCAGCGACTTTTATGGGACGATGAGTGCGGCCGAGATGCTATGCTGGACAGCCACAGAATCCCCTCACTGGCTCTTGATTTGTGAGCTGCCTCCGGAGAGCGACTATCGACGATCTGTTCTTTCAGTGGATAGCACCGGGTGTCGAGTTCTCGAAGTACGAGAAAACACCCTGAAACCTCTTTGCATTTTCCTTGTAGAAAAAGGATGGTAACGAATTCATCACTTCCCGGTTTCAGCTATATTGTCCTCTTTTTTTCTTGTTCCGTGTCGCTCTTCTTCTTTCATTTTTCTAGCGTCCGGGTTCCCGAATTTCGGATCTTATCAATTGTCTAACATGTCGGTGCATATTTGTGGTGCACAACACCTTCACAATCGAAAAAAACAGTTAACATTGACTAGATATTGTTCCAACTTTGACGTACTTTCTTTGGTCTTGGCGATCCAGAGTACTTCCACTGCAGACTTGCTTTCTTTTAGAATCATAACCATAAACCGATGATTTATTACCGATAATAAACATTGTAAACATAGTATCATCGTTATTGACCATTACTAAGTAATCCTGAGCGATTTATAAATGAAGCTTTTTTTGCTATGCATTGAGCAATTTTGGAATGAGGTTGTTCGATCGCAAGTTGCACCCGCTCAATATTATCTAATGTTTTTGTTATCGAAACTCAACCAGAATAAAAATCACTATCAACAGACACAATTAACTTAACTGACTTATTATAAACATTCAAGACAACCAAGATTTTTTTATTAGACTGTTTTCTAGCATGAAAAACGAGTATTTAAAAATCATAATTTAAATTATCTATATATCCCTTTTTAAAATAAAAAACGAGATTTTTCAGTTAAAACTCATAATTTTGCGTTTGATATTATTTGTTGCAAATAATTATCATGAGAACATATACACCCACTGGCTGGAGTATAATATAGTCATGCCTATTGCACATGTACACAGCATGTACACACCATATGTAAACAATGAATGAACGTAATTTAACCTTAACCTTTTATTATTATTTGAGACAAAAAAAAGAGGACTAATTAGTACTTGCTATATTTACGATTAATTCACTGTTTTCATTCTGTAGAGTCCAGATCGATTTTACATAAAATACAATATTATGTCTAAAATACTTACAAACCCCTTAAGTTATAAAGATAACCTTATAACACTGTGTTTGTTCTGTTTTAAAATGATTAGTATTGTTAATTTAAAAAATAGAAATATAATGAGAAATTATGTAAAAATAACATCAGAATAAGTTTTTGGAAGAACAAAATTTTATTCGACTGTTTAATATAAATATTCTACAAAAGATAACTAAGCAACTTTTTAAATATATAAACTTTTTAATTTTGCAAAAGTTTTGCAGTGTTTTTCTGCTACTTCTATGGTTTGCGATCATTTGCGTACGTATCCAAAAAATCCCTGGATAACTTTTTATGGCAAACGGCAAAACACAGTGTAAAACTTTTGGCTGTACTCTTATAAGCAACAGCTGAGGCTTAACTGAAACTTTGAACTCTCGCGCGCCCCCTCTCTCTCTCTCTTAGACGTTCATTCTAGCATCGCGACTGCTACCGGATCGCGAACGTATCGATTGATCGAATCGTCTACCGTTGCAGCCCTAAAATCTATATAAAAAATACTTTTTTTCATCGAAACTAATCTTAATTAACGTAGTTTAATTAAACAACAAGAACTATTATATCTATATATATAAGTAGGTGACGTCACGCTCCTTATATGATCATGAAATTCGTCTTTGGTACTAAGACAATCATTTAATATATTAGATTGCACCGTTTAATATGCTAATTTATATAAGCAGATTGTTGAGTTTAGCGGATTGCATTAATTCAGTGAAAATAAGAGAATAGCTGGTAGATATGACCGTTACAATATGTTAAAAAAGCTATTTTTATTAATTTATAAGAAATATATACAATAAGTTATTCTGAACATAGGATGTTTCAAAGTTTTTTAAAATCTTTTGACTTTGGCATTGATTTACAATTGAATGAATAATTTTTTGTAAGTGATTTTCATGTATACTGTTTGTCTTCTTTTTTATTTTTCGAGCTTCCGTTGCTCTCTGAGAGATGACCGTACTATATACTGTTATTCTCGCTCACGTTGATGAATAAAAATGTATTCTAATGAGTGTGGTTTGTAATAGAAACAATTTACTTATATACTATCCAGAGGTCTTGCTCTTGTTGGAGAAAAAATTAGAATGAGCTTCGTTTTTGCTCTGTATCCAGACTTTTAAATATTTTTTCTCTCTTTTAGATTACGAATGTGAGAGTGAACGTTAATGAACTTCATCTCGAGTTCTTCTCTGTTAAGATCGATGTATAAATATATTTCTTGTATCTCACATTTCAAATCAGTTATAGATTTTTATATATGTTGATTTTCTATCAACAGACTGTATTGTAATGTAGTCAAACCACGTTTACTCTCAATATTTCCTAGCTTACGTCCAAACACATCTACAACCCTTTTTGAAATGATTGAAAGGAAACATGTGCTTTGAATTAAATAGTGATTGCAATCGTGGTAAGTGAAACAAGAATTATTTGAATTTTCATTCGTATTTATATTTTTCAGTCAAAAGTTTAGTACAAGTTGTTATCATAAATATAAATACATTTTTACAAGTTTTATAATATGTCCGCTAATAGAATTATACTTAATTATACGATCGTGTAAAATTAAATAGTATGTTGCTCTACCATCAGGAATATTATTTTTAGCCTCAAACTCTAAACGTACATCGACAGCAGCTAGTTTCAGTGACTCGTTTTGTTTTGAACAATCTATCGCTATCAGTAGTGCATGCCTATTAAATTGTTTTTTTGTCTAAAAGTGGATTAAACATACAATCTCTATTGTAGTAGCTTAGTTGATATTGTGCATAAATATCATATAAGATAGAGTATTGATTCTTGTCGATGTCAAGAATCAAATTGCTAGAAGGATATTGCTGGAAGTTTAGAAAGAGTTTCACAATAGTTATGTTACAATAATCAAAATTGCTAGCATCTCTCTTCTTCTCAGCTTTAAACTTTGTTTGAAAACAGAGTATGATAAATCTTGGTTTTTCTTATTGATTGTGCTAGGAGTGCTGGATACTGATAAAGTTCCCATGATCGGAAATTCATAAAAATTTGAACATCTTTTTGAATTAAATTGAAAAGCTGTATTTTACACTTACTGATTAACATAAGGTATAAATTATTCACTACGAGTTATTTCTAGTTTGAGAGTTTCATACACATCATCAGTGTCAATCTTTATACGATTTTTCACGATTACATTCTGATTATCTCTTGATTGAGTTAAAATAAGTTCACGTTCTACATTCACAATAATCTTGTAATAATCTTCTGAAAACCCTATAATCATTGAAAGTTATAATGAAATATCAAAGATACCATTACTATGTAATATATTTCCAATTTCTTCGATATCAAGCCATCTAGCATTTTCAAGAAATATGTTTTAATTTTGATTGAGTGAAATTAAACCTTTCATAGTGCTAATTAATCCGACATTTTTACATTTATCTATTCTACAGCATTAATTTCAGAACGAATATTTTCAAATAGGTGACAAATAGCATTGTGACGTCGGTTGACGAAACAATTCTCAGGCGCACTTTTTGGTCTATCCTTGCGGACAATAACCGGGACGTGCGTTGCCACTATCGCGGGAAATTCTTTTTTCGGCGACGGAGGATTGAAGCTTTACTACACCACACGCTTGGCAATATAGCAATGCTTCGCGTTATTTTATCACACTCTTGGCGATAAAATAACGTAAAGGGGGACCTATCTAATATGCACTCGACCACACGCTTGGCAATCGAGTGTAACTATCTAAAAGGCAGACCGTCCGTGAAACTAAAATAGGAAAGAATAAGGAGAGAAAGGGATGCAAAAAGAAGTTAGAGTAAAAAAAAATTTAGTTTAATTTTCTTTACATACTTTCGCCTTAATTTCCCACACACACCAACTAAACGAAGTCGAAAAAGAGTTGCACGAATTGAATTATCTTGAACTAATGAATTCACGAACGAACTTGGACTATATTTGAAAAGATTGTACAAACTGAACTGGAAAATAACTGCCTAATTTTCGTGAAAAGCTCTCTTTTATACTTTTTCGCAGGAGACTCCCACTCGAAAATCTTTGTCATTTTTGGGCAGGAAGAACTCAAATTTTCTCAACTTAATTGGTTGGAAAATTTGGGGAGTATCTCAAGTGTAAGCAAAGTTCGAACCGTAATTGGCCGGGGGCGGAG